CAGACAAGTTGGATTAGGTTGTTACACCAAAGGAGACTGACAGACAGCTCGTGATTGCTTTTCTGCAGACCACCCTTCTTTCTCTAAATGGCTGAAAATGTTGACCACTATGCTGAGAAATTAGTAAACCTTTTATTTTCCATCCTCATTGGGAATTTCATTCAGTTTCCTAAACAAATTTCTTGATTTTGAAACAAAAGTCAAATTTGGATGTTACATTCACCTGATTTTGAGCAACTACTAATATATCAAATATCTGCACCATCTCGAATTTATAATACAAATTGTTTTAAACAGTCCGCATGGCTGGTCTCCAAAGGAATTAAATGTTCTGTCTTACTTGTAAATAACCGGAATCTTTATCGATAAATTATTCCGTGTCCAAATTTGGAAGGCTGACTGACGCTGGTACCGCTGAGAGACAAAAATCGATGTTTTCCTTCGCTCGCGTGAGAGTGACTCACGCTGACTCACCTGCAGTTAGCATGGCTCTTGATGACATCATTTAGCTGTGTACTTTAACAACTACAATCATTGATAACCTTGAAATAGCGTGATATACTACTAGACGTTTTCCTCCGCCTAGCATTTAAAAGACCTGTCTTCTACATGTGTTGCACTGGCAAATCATGTTTAACATCCCGTCCAGGTTGGTTGTAATGAAAACTATTAAGATTATCCACTTGATCCTTGATGTTTTAAAGTACAACATATACGTACAATAGGTACAATCTATCTATAGACCTAATTATACAGACGGAGAGTGAATAAATTAGCTGAGCTATTATGTCCATGCATCTCAAACTACGAGTTTTTTTTTAGAAAACCATGCAGCCTATCAGTAATATTGTAGATAGACAACAATGCAATATCCAGACCCTAGCAGTGACATAATAGACAACCATCCTCTAGCAATTACGTCAAAGACAACATGTTTAGAGTGCAAAAGGAACTCACTACTCTCCAGAAAACCTACATCATCCTTCCCCTACAATGACGAGCAAGAGGAAATTGTCTCGACTTGACATCAACAACACAGTTTAGCAACCATTTCCTTAAATGCAATGACGTAACCTCTTAAGTTTTCACTCTTAAATCGTGCAATTCTGAAGGTTCAAGGAACTTTAAGCCCGTTGGAATTTGAATTACAGCACATGGAACGAAAGTATACAAACTGTCAAGGGATTTCGACCAAATTTAGATTCTTCGTGTGTTGAATTTTTAACCCTTCAAGAAACTAAGTATTGAAGGTAAAACTTTACAAATCGCACCAAACTAAATCTTGCAAATACATGGAAATCGCTTATTCACACATTATTCAAAAGGTTTAGTGGTGGATGAATCACAATTAATGCCCCCTCTAATTAATAAGCGACTTCAATTAACTCAATACCTAAATAACTCAATCTATTGTATGGTTTGCATTCGTGTTATTATACTGAAAATTGTATTTCATAAACGTGGGATGGGGTCCCACTAATTAACAATGTTATATATTTTTTTAGCATTTCTTCATACAATAAGGAGAAATTTGAATAACATTTAAACCACAAAAGTATATAGGAAATCACTCGAAACGTATAATCGTATTAACTAATCTAATATTTGTAACTCGTGTTGACTTACAGAATAATTATCAATTCATGGGTATTTCGAAATGACTATAGAGAATTTTAATTAAAAGGGAAATATGTAAATACAATTCCACTTGGTTGGCAATTTAAATGCACTTTTCCCACAAAAATGTTAATTCCCACATAGATTAAATGCTGTGCTGAGTGTAGTTAAGTGTGCAATGTCACGAGCGTTCGAGCAAAACGGTCGACGGTCTAAATAACTGCATTTGTCTAGAACAATTGCAAGATAAGGCTGAGAAAGACAATGAGAGTGAAAATAATACTATTTTATACTGAACAATAGGATATAAACGAGAGTGTAATGTAAAATATGACTTAATAGTCGTTGAATGGAAATTATCATGGGAAATTACCTGTTGGAAAGATTGACAAAATATAATCAACGAGTTATGATATCAAATCAGGTAGAAAATGCGCTTATGGCTTTCATTGGATCATTTATGACTATTTCATAGATTGAATTATCTGCCTGGATAAAAATGTAGGCCTAATGTCTGAACAGACAGTATGTTTATATGCAACGCTGTCATAAATACAAACGAAAGAATGTTTTTATCATTGTGAATGCACCACTGCTTTTGTTGTAATGCATATACGAAAATAATTATTAAATAACATTGTCTCCACTGATGGGGAACTTAATTAACCTTACCAACCAAGCTATACTGCACTTTCAATTCATCTTTGGCTATAAACTAGAGGGAACTACTAACCATTCATTATGAACCATGCTTTATGCTTTAAAGTCAATGAAAACACCTTTTAAATCACACACATCAAATATAGAAGAATAAAAAAAACTGACAGTTAAACCGAAATAAATGGTTATAACACTGGAATTTAATGTTTCAACACCATAACATGTCAACAAATAACACAATAAGGCCTTTAGGCGATTTGTTGCGAACAATTATATGTTGTGTCCAACTAGACCTTGGGAATCGTGCCTTCGGGTTCACATCTTGTCAATCGACAATAGTTTCGTTGACATGTGATACAGCCAACAGCTGTGAGCCAACAATATACAGAGGGGTGCAAAAGTAGGTATACAGTATTGAAACATTATAGAAAAATATATTCACGCATATAAAAAGAAATTGATTTGAAGAGTATTAAGACACCTAAATTAACTCTTAAAAATTTTGTAATTGATAAAAAACACTCACTTCCTTGTGTGTTGTGTGTTGTTATGTGTTGTGTGTGTTGTGTGCCTGTTTGTACTGTATACCTACTTTTGCACCCCTCTGTATATTACATCTTGACGCGTACACACACACACTAAAAGAAACGTTTAAAAAATATTAAATTGCCAAAAAATAACAACGTGACATATCTATGAAACCAAAAACGAACTAAAACATTCCGAAACATAATAATTATGAGAATTTGTCAGCGTAAATGCCGTGATGTCTTAGTATTAACATCCTTTTATCTATGGTATCAATTATAATGTAACATTGTGATAACACTTGACCACAGAACTACACCAGCATTGCAAACCAATCAATGAGTTGTCATGTTTAGCCGCGTTGTGGATTGCCATGCAATACATACCGAAGTAAACATCCTAATTCTGACAATCACGAGACGATGTGTTGGATTAGAGCTAGAGGCACATTATTGGCGATTGACTTGAGTTGGTAAACACAAATATTAGTAGATGTTATCTTCTAATGGTCTAATGGCATCATTACCAGTATCGAATATCGATGTATACATCGATGGTATATAACAGATAACAGCCTACATACAATGTATCTTAGCCTATATAAATATGTAATTTCTAATTTAGCACATTAAATTCAAGTGTAAGTAAATTAAATGGATTCCTTGCTGCCTTTTCTGGTTCTTACATCTTACATCTTACATCGGCGCTCCTCTTCGCAGTCGTGGAGACCGGAGAGTTGTCAATTTCTTGGAGGGGGTTTGTTGTATTTATGTGTGTGTGTTTATGTGTGAGTGTGTGTGGTTTATTTATTTTAGAGGTGTGTCACATTGTTGTGGTCTTTGTAGTATGGCCTGTTCAGGAGGTATTTTTTAAGGCTAGTGATGAATTTTTTTGTTTCGTTTATCGATTTTATGTTTTGAGGAAGAGAGTTATAGAGAGTTGTTCCCATGTATGTTCTGTGTTCTGAAATATTTATTCGCGTTAAAATGGTAAAATGTGAAACATTGCAAGTTATTTAGTTACCTCTCTATAAGTGAGATCAAAGCTTTTTTCAAAATAAAAAAGCTATTTTTAACTCAAATTTCTAAATATAACCTTTAACAGCAAGAGTTCCTAACATGTTTTGAAATCTCTAATTATTTGTCTTATGTATATTTTAGGATTTCCTCTAACTATTGCATTTACCTAGTTAATACAAAATGTTAATTTGGCATAATACAAGATCTGATTTGATACTTTCACGATTCGTAAGAATGTATCATACAAATTACGTATATCGTTTTTATTATGTATGTAGTACAAAACTCATCTGACCGTTGGTATAAATGTGGTCTGCGCTTTAAATTCAGGAATTTCGTGTACTTAATATATTCATTTAGGTTTCTTTGTTTCAACACATTTTACTATACATTGAAATCGTTATACATTGACCAAAATCTTATAATGGGGCAAATATTTCAACTTATACTACGATTACAAGTGAGTTAATAGCAATATTTTGTTGTTCTGTACTAGGCGTTCAATCGTTCAATATAATTAGAATGTATCATCGTTTAATACTATTTATGATCTGTTATGTTTTTGTAAATGGCGTTGACCGTTGATGCTGTTGTTATTTTGTTTTTGTTACAGAGTCTATCATATTGTTTTTTTTTTTGCAAGTATTTATCTGTTTTTCACATTTCTTTGCCTGTATTTAGGCTACTTAATGTTGCATGGTATTTCTGTATTACTATCATTATTGTTTTATGTTGGTATACTGGTTTTGTTTTTGTGAATCTATTGTATTGTTGCCTTGTTATGTTAGTTATTTATAGTGAATCATTATCTTTAGGTTATCTTGCCATGTCTTGTTCTTGAAATCTTGTTGTTTCCAGTTTTTCACTACTTATATACTGACCAGTCATCTGTCACAAAGACACTCTGTATTTTATTGTAAACATTGTGTATTAGTTAATAAATAAATTGAAATATAGCGGTTTTAGCTTCAGAATCTCCAAACCGTTTTAGTATTACCGTACTCATATAAAGACACGGTCTGTTGGTATATTATCTACCATAGGGGACAATTATTTAAAACATTTAAAATGTATAAAGTATCTCAATATTGTTTTGTATTATATTGCGTATTTGTTTCTGCTTAAATAAAAACTTAAGTATTTTATTACAGACAAACACAATAACACATCACTTACCAAATTCCAATAGTATATGAACAAGAAGATCCAAAATGTCAATCCACAATAGCACACTGGTATAATTAAATGAACATAAAGCAATCGTTGCTCACCCTGGCACTACTACCGCACGACTGAACGAGCAAGTTTCGTTTGGAAGTTTGTTTTGAGTTTCATTCTCGTTCGCGACGCTTGGGGCGCTGGGCGCATGCGCCGGATTTGTTGGTCCATTGTTGCCGAATCAAATCTCGGCGCGCTTCCAATGTTTTGGTCACCAAAAATAGTATTCTGTTTAAAACACGGTTCATAATCATTCTTTGAACATCTAAGAATAGACATTCAAAATTAAATCATTAGTAATTGTTTTTATTTTGCGAACTGGATTCACTAGATAACTGATTCACGGTGGAAACTACTGAAGCAATAAGAACTCTAAATAATCTCCACTATGAAGATCATTACAAAGCATTCTTTAAAAAAAATTCTCACATTAACATCCTTGTACCTGGTTGAAGTAATAACTCAAGCAATAAAACTGAATCCTACTAAACGAACTGAAACCCATTTCTACAATACCAGAAGCAAACCTACATTTACTACGGCATAGATGAAAAGAAACTGCACGAACATATAGAGGTAGAAATTATACAACCTACTATCAAACCGGCTTACAAATATTCAAGACACAACAAAATTCTCTACTCAACTTAAAAAACTATATCCTCGAACACCTCTACTGCAGCTTAACACGAATTCCTGAATGAACACACATACAACAGAAGACATAAAACAAGAAACTAGAAGCAACTAAGTCATAAAAACGAGAAAAGGAAAAAGATTACACCCCAATCTTGATGACTGCGGAGGAGAAGAACTGCAGTAAGGGGAATCCAAAAAATATTTTAATTACATTTTTTTTTTATTTATTTTTTTTTAAAGTGGGTTCACCATTTGCAAAGACACCCTACATGTTTTTCTTTGAGGCCTAATATGGGAAAATTAAGTCCAATCTATGCATTTAAAAAATACGCCCGCCACAGCAAACCTGCAGGCTAAGCGAATTTCCATTACGCTAGGTGTAACTAAATCAAACAAAATATTACTTGATGTTTTAATATATATCTAGATAATTTTAATTACTCATAAGGGCACCCTTCAATGTATGCGATATGATTAGTCAACTAAATAATGTTGTTTACTTAAACAAATCATTTGTGATTTTAATAATGTTTGTTATATGATTAGATATCTATTATAGGCAACTAATATTGAAAAGTCATAGCTGATAAGCATTTTGATTGTAAGGTCATTATTCAACATATTTCAACTTTAAAAATGAAAAGAAATTTCTTAAAAATCGTATGATAAATGTTTGTTACGGTACTTATTTATCCCCTTCAATTGAATGTTGCAATTAACCCCTTTCAACCCACTTATTAACCCCCTTCAATGTGATTCGTACAAAGTTTGTTTTACTATTAATGTAGTTTTTTTCAGTTTGTTTTTTCATAAAGTCTATTAGGTTTGCCGCATGATATTTAGATTTCATTTTTTTTGACGGGGTTTACGCGTATTCTTGTGATTTATAATCCTTATAATTAATTTAAAGGTAAGTTTGCTGTGTGTGTCTTGTCCTGTCATTGACTTCATTGTCATTTAACCAACTGTACAACTGTTTTAACTAAACATATAGATATATTCATACAATATTACCATATTAACCATATATGTAATATTACCATATTACAATATTAATACAGTATGTTGCTTGTACTCTATTATTACATTATAACCAAAAAGTCTTGCTCTAAAAATAGGATAAACGTTATTCAATTTTAGTCAACATCGTCGCAATCAAGCACAAACATGCGTCAAAACAGGCATCCGATTCAACAACATGAAGAAAAATGTACTTGCACAATCTAAAGTCAATGATAACTCATCAGTTCTAAACAAATCGTGTACTATCAGTCTACACAATGTAAATATCGGACATGAAGATGAGTTGAACAGTCAAATAACATGAGTGAATCATAATCATATTGTCGTAGTCACAAAATGCAAATGTTGGGTCGCAATGTGAAGTCACGTTTATAGACTTCTCAGTCTAAAAACGCATGTCCAAACACGTACGGAGACAACGCTATCATAAATTCCAAGAAAACGTCAGCCAATAAATGTATGGAGTGTTCCATGTTTTCTAACAAATGGCACAACAGCAATGTTGCGTAAACGTCAGTTTTCACTTAAACTGTCTTTTGTAGTTAGTTAACGAAGAATTAAACCATAAGTGCAAAAACTAGCTATAAAAAATGATCACAATAAACATTTTATAATGTGAAAACCTTACCCAAGCTTATGATAAATTTTAATATCGTCATTAGCCTATTTCAAAAGTACCTACTTCTTTAGCTACACACAGTTATTTATCCTTTAAATACATGCAGTACATCTACTTAAGCATTAAAGATTACATATTAAGTTCCTGAAGGGATGTGCATAGATACATCTGAGGGATAAGGTTCTAAAGGGTAATAACACAGTCATATAAACCGTATATAATGTAATTTATATTTAAAGCAACAATTTATTCTAACTATGATGTAGGCCTACCTACATTTTTTTGCAACACGTTTTTATAGGTACCTTCTTAAAAAAAAAAAAACCACTAAAAATTAGTAAATATGCAAATTAGTATTTGCTTCTTAAAAAGTTAATTTTGATGTTTCTGAGTATCTTAGTTAGTCCGACACGTATGGTAAGCTTGGCGAACCCATGCTGATGTTAAATTGAATATACAATTTGGATTAGAACAATTTATTTTCTTAGTTGTGAATACACGATGAAAAAGCGAAAAAATACGAAAGAAAACTTAAAAATTAACGTAATTCAACCTGAGGTTTATTTGTGAACGAGTAAGCACTGTAATAAATTGATATACAGTATTTTAGTTTAAAAAATAATTACACTGGTTAAGGAATTTCAATGCGACACAAACTTATTCAAGTTAAAACGTATTAGTACAAGGTGGCCTATGCGTAAATTACACATTTTGATAGGATTCAAAGCTTAAATCCATGGTAAAATAGTAATTCAATACCCTTTTACTTTCCAAAATTATAGATCTACGTCATGAAGACTGAAGAGTGATTTACATACCTTAATCAAGTTGCAGTTATCAAAAAAAGGTTGCCTATTTAAAATCCATTTTCATAAACTGTCTGTCTCTTGTTTACAATCTGACTGGTTCAACATTCTGAAGAATCAGCTGTTAGATTACAATCCAAATTAAAAGCAGCTTAAAGACAGTTTGTCAGCAACACTGGATCTTTAAATGTGGACTCTAGAAATGATATAAACGCAAGGGCGACGAAACCCTTAAAGGAAATGACCTTTTTCGTTACCATTCGCACGTGCGTTGGATGATAAGGTATACAATTAGATTAAACGTGAAAATCTGCTGAAAAAGGGATGTTTAGGAGAAACCCCTTAATTTATTAAGTATATTGTTTTTATTCTTTACAAAACTTTAGAAGATTATGTAGGGTAGATCATCCAAATTACTGTCGAGCAGGTTATCGGTTGGCATACGTCACTGAGTGAAGTGAATCCTACAATTCCAACCCCCATTTCAACGGTCGGTCAGTGCCTCAAATGACTCATAGATTTTATCTACAGTACTCTAAAAGGTGTTTTATTTCGAGAGACTACAGTGGCGGCCTGTCGCCCAATTTTCATTTCCTGAGAACTCACCCCCCGGGGGGGGGGGGGGGGTAGTCCCTTTCTGGCGGTTAAGGTGGTTTTTGTGGGCGGCTTTTTGTCAGAAACGCTCAAATATCCCTGGAGCATCCGATTTTGGGACCGTAATCTTGAAATATAATGATAAACAGCTTAGCTAATAACGGGGTTGTGTTCGTCCGTTCCAATTCATAAGTTATACCAGTCTGGAGGATCCAAAAAGGTTTCTTACGTAACTTCGGAATGTGAGCTTAATTTCTAAAGGTGATAGTCCAATACCATTGACTATTAGATGGACCAACGTGAACCTTCTATCTATAGCCTAAGGCTAGCTGCAGCCTATTGTAATATTCCTGTAATATAATAAATGTAATACAGAAGCAGAATCTAGTTTGGAAGCTTAACTGCCGACTTCCCTCAAAATTGAGAAAATAATCTCCCGGGAGCGAGCTGGTCTAGTGGTTAGAGCGCAGGACTTCAGTTCCTGAGGTCCCGAGTTCAAATCCCACCAGATCACCAATGGATTTGATCTAAGTGATAATGCCGCAACCCCTAGGTTTAGCCTGAAGTAATGTGAAAAACAATCCCAGGATCGTGCCTAGCGTCATTGGACAAAAAAATGATAACACTCTCTATAATGTGTATTATGTTTCTAAGATGTAAGCAAGACCAAAAATTTAGAAATCGTCAGCCGAACCTCTGTCAATAATTGTTGTAGCTGTGAATAATCTGGCTCGTTTTGTAATTTAAAATAATTGTAGATAATGGAGTTATGCTAAAATTATTAATTTCAAATTTAATCACTTTCTCTACCTCGTGACCAAACGTCGATAGGCTCCGCTTATTAGCGTTGAATGAAGAAAGCATAACTTTACTTCATCACGGGTTATAAATTATGTTCGTTACGAAATAATGAGTTGCATGATCAGAACTGTACTTGGATTTCCTTAAGATATCCATATCCAAGTTCTATACACATAAAATTGTCCAATCAATTGCGTTGATTTTCAGTTATTATGTTGGCTCTGTGCGGTTTGGTAAGAATGAGAATGGCAACACTTCAATGTAAGGAGACCCAAACGTAAGAAGAGCTATGATATTCTGTTTTAGTTTCAACACCAGTGGTATTTTTGCACTCTTTTAAGTTAAAGAAGTCTAAAGCCCTTATATTTTTTTGGTTATACCGGTAAAGGAAACTGACCCTATCACAGCAAAGTCCAAGAACTTAATCACTAAGGTAAACAACAGAATACAGTTTGAGTCTATTCTGTAGCTAAACACGCCCAAACAACTGGTTTCAACACAGAATTGATTATTTACAATAACCCAAACAGTTTTATTCACCTTCCATACAAACTTCTAGGTTCACAATGCATTAGAGACACGTCAGTTAATTATAT